TCGCTTGAATAAGCTGGCTCTGGGGGAGGGGGTGCACCGTGGTCCCCAGGGTCCTCGGAAGATGGCTCCAGGGCTGGGCAGGGTGAGGCGGCCGGCTGGCAGGTGCTCACCTGGACGGTGTCGTATCCCAGGATGCCTGTCATGCTGCCGGTGCCATAGGCGATGGAGACTGGGTTGTTGGTGGCCTGGTAGGTGGAGGACTCCTGAGGGTTGAAGCGCTTGTGGTTGGCTGCCGGGGCAAGAAGTCACGATGTCAAGTTCGAAAAGCTGAGCGAGAGTCACGGGCTGAGAGCGTGTTCCTTGGGGGCAGGGGGTGCCTTGGTTCTGGGTGGGGCTTTGCAGGAGAAATGTAACCCTCACCCCAGGTTTCGGAGCCTAAGCATACCCAGGTTCCACTTGTGTCTGGTTGGGCCAGTAGGGACCCTGTCACTGAGGGCAGGTCCCCAGCAGACCTAACGGTCCTCCCAAGGTGGCCCAGGCTAACACTGAACAGAGCAGGCTCATGGCTGTCCGTGGTGCCGAGCCCTTTCAAATCCTTTCTGCCGGTGGACCGGGCTCCTTGAGGGCAGGGACCGCGTGTGATTCACGCCGTTCTCCCTGGGCCCCTGAGTCCAGGGCTTGGCGCCTAGTAGCTGCTCAGGAAATGCCTGCCGAGTGAATCCCTGAGTGACTCCCCCCAGGCTTCAACCCTAGTGGAAGCCCCTGGGTGTTCAGGGCTCCAGGTCGGTTGGTCCCCGAGAACCCGGGCAGGGCAGGGCCAGGCACTCACTGCAGGCAGGACTCTTGCAGTAGACAGAAGGCACCCACAGGTTGGAGGAGCCGGTGTCGAAGATGACGGTGAACTGCTGAGGGGGGGTGCCGATGCCGATGGTGCCGAAGTACTCCATCTGCCAGGGTGGGACAGCACAGCTCAGTGACCGCTCCCCAGCCTGGCCTCCCCGGGGACTATGTCAGGGTGGGCTCTTCAGCCCACCTCCCACCTTTCCCTTCACCGTTCTCCCGGCCTTTCTCTCCCTGTCCAATGCATCCATCCTTCAAGGCCCAGCCTGGCCTCCCCCTCCACCTGGAAGTCTTCCTTGATTGCTTCTCTGTTACCCTCTGACTGTTCTTTTCTAAGCACCATGAACACCTGATGATTATCGGCTGTCCCCTCTTCATTCAGCTCTTGTCTGGTATATCTTACTCTCGTAGTCCTAGAGAACGTTCGCACGTTCTTGGACAGGGGGTAGAAACTTACAGCACCCATGAGAGTCTAGGCTCAACTGCTTTGTCATTAAACTGCCGACGGGGAGGTAAATAAATCCCCTCACGGTGGGGCACCCCTCAAGGCGTCTGATTCCTAAATCTCGGTGTGTGTAGCAGGTTCAAGAAAGCACAGAGTCAGGATTGTTATTCTCAATGGCAGCGCCTTCTCCCTTCCCAGCTCTGTTCCAGCCCCGTGAGGCTTGCCGTTCTTTGATGATGATGTCAAGCTCATTCCCCTCCCAGGGCCTTTGCACTTGCTATTTCTTATGGCGGGCAAATGTTTATTCTAGATCTTTCCTCGGCTGGCTCCCTCTCACCACTCATTCGGTGCTCCAGTCGACTGTCACCTCTGCCAGGAGGCCCTCCCTAACCGCTTTATCTAAATTTGCCCTTCCCTCATGGTTCTCCTTCCCCTTACTCTGATTAGTTCTTCTTTGTGACCCCAGTCATTACCTGAAATTATCTTAGATACTTGTCTCTTACTTGCCTTTCCCTCTAGAACCTACGCTCTTTGTTTATCCACCATTGTTTCCTTAGCTCCTTGCGCCGAGACTCTGGCACATAGTAGGTGCTTCATAAATATTTGTTACGTGAATAGGTGGGCTAATTTTACCAAGCTCTTGCCAAAGGCCAGGCCCTGTGCTAAGCACTCCAAAACCCCACGAGAAACAAAAAACAAAAACAAAAACAAACTCCCGTCCCCCCCAAAAAGCAGACAAAACCAAAGAACATTATTGCATTAATTACTTACAGCAACCCCCCGAAGGTAGATATTAGTGGTTCTGTGTTACAGACAAGGACAGTTGAGGCTCACTCAGAATTTAAATGACTCGCCCAAGGTCACACGGCCCCTCGGCCCTACGGCCTAACTTTCACCAGGTCTGGCAGATTTCACAGGCTACGCTCTTAACGACCGGCAAGCTTGCTTCATAGCCGTGGCCCAGTGCCATGTACACTGGGGACACGACATCTCCTAAGGGGCAGGGTGTTGCCATTGGGTCCCAGATGGAAGAGTCAGAGTGATCTTCCTGAAACTCCAGTCCGATCGTGTCGACCCTCCCGGTGAAGACAACTGAGTGGCGGTTGAGAAGACAGACTCTGATTTGGCTACGCTCACCGACCCCTCAGTCCTCCATCGTGCCTCTCTCTCTAGCTCTCTGCTCTCCCTGAACACCGGCCTCCTTTCCTCGCATGCGCTCTGTCCCCCGCTGTCCCAAGGTCTGGCACACGCCGTCAGCCCTCTGGGACGCTCTCCTGTCCCCTGGAAACCCCCTGTTGTTCCTTCCCTGCTTGCCCCGGCCACACCCTCACAGTGTGAGACTGTCACTGAGCCGGGGTTGTGAGGCTCACTGGGGACCGTCTGTGTGTCCCTCCTAAGACTGTGAGCTCCTTGAGCGCAGGGGCTGTGCCCCTGGGCCCAGCACGGTCCCTGACACGTAAAGAGGCGCTCCGTATGCATAAACACCGGAGGAAAGAGTGAATGAATGGCAACAGCTCTGACGGTGACTTCCTGCCCTCCCTGGGCCTCTGGGATCCCGGACGCAGACCCTGCGGTCACTGCCTGGGGGTCCGGAGCGCTGGCCCATCCTCCGAGCTGCCCGGTTGCCGGCCCGTGCACTCACATCCATGTAGTTTTCCAGGGGCTGGGCGGCTATCAAGGTGGCGGACTCATCGTGGAAGTACTTGTTGGCTGGATTGAAGCTGTACTTCTTCAGGAAGTCATCCAGGAGACCGTGCTCGATCAGGTTCTCCCTCAAGGTCTTCTTCTTGGTGAGGGGAACCCTGTGGCAGAGCAGTGGCAAAGGGGGGGCGGGGTTGGCAGGAGGAAGAGGAATCGGGCGAGGAGTCGGCCCGTGCGGTGCCGCGGAAGCCTCGGAAGGCCAGCCCGGGAGAGGACGAAGAAGGGAGGCCGAGGCGGGGGGGTGAGAGATGCTTCTCTTTTTGGCACGCTAAGGCAAAGAGGTTAAGCGGTTGCCCCAAGTCGCTGGGCACCCAGCTGTGGCCAGGCTGGAGCCCCACGTCGGCGGGGCTGCGTCCCCAAGAAGGCAGAGAGAGAGAGAGAGACAAGAAGGGAGACTGGAGCCAGTGGAACAGAGTGGAATCGGATGGGGGGAGAGGGGAAGAAGGAAATCGTGAGGCGGGGAGGAAGACAGCAGGACGAGACGGCTGTTCCTCGGGCAGCGTGGCCCCGGACTCACTTGATGATGGTACACTCAGAGAGTGCCACCAAGCTGAGCAGCAGCAGCCACTTCATGGTTCGCGTCGGTCCCGATCTCCGGAGAAGGGTAGATGGCTGGAAAGTGTACCACAGTCCACGGGAGCTGCTGCTTATATACAGCCCATGTCCTTGGGGATCAGCCTTATCGGCCTCCCAATGTCACCCCTTATCATAACCCCAAACAGAAAGGTTCCCGATAAGACGGTCCCCGCCCCCAAGCTCTGTTCTGAGAAGTTTCCAATGAAGTAGATTTCCATTGTAACCAGAGCCCGCAGCTGGGATGGACCTGGGGGTGGGGGGGGGGAGCGGCAAGCTATGGAGGGGTGGCCTATTTCTTACATGGAATCCATTAAAATGTGACAACTTGAATATTTTGACAGAATGGGTCTAAAGTGCACTTAACCTGGAACGGATGCGGAGGAAGCTCGTCGCCCCCTGCTTTGCCCCCGTGGCACAGGGGGCTGGGGTTCTCAGGGGACGGTTCCCCACCCGGCGATGGGCCACGTTCCTATAGCTGCTAGCCCAAAACATATTCCTAGGTTGGTGGCTTGGGACTCAGGACACATTTCTTTTTTTTTATTTTATTTTTTTAATGTTTATTTAGTTTTTGAGAGAGAGAGACAGAGAGAGAGAGAGAGAGAGAGAGA